GGCTCTCGAGGAGGGACTGCATAATCCTCACCACCCCTTGCTGGTAAATTCATTTTAGATGACTTGTCTGAAGTTCAGAGAAATTAAGGTGCCCCTCAGAGGTGGAGCTGGCATTTATCAGTCCACATCTGCTTGGTCCAGAGCCTGTGTTCTTTCCAGGTTCCCGGCCCTTGGTGGCTGAGAGGTCTCACCTGTGGGACCCTTCCATCGCATCCGCGAAGAACTTCCTGCCGAGGCACCTGGGCTCCTTGTGCCACAGTTGCGCTCTTGCTGTTGTGTTTTTAGTGGAAGGTCCAAGGAATGACTGGTGCTCGTGAAAAGCTGGTTCCTCTGGGGGTTAGGGGCGGTGTACCGAGAGAAATTGCCGAAGAGGGCACTCCTTTACTCGGTGACAGTTGCGTGGCTTTAGCTGTCACTGAAAGGAGGTGGCTTGGGTCGGAGCCCATCCTGGTCTCCACCTAGGTTACTACCTGGTCTGTCTCTGCCTAAGACCTCCTTGAATTTTCTCTTCCCAGTAAAAACCATCCAGAAAGCCCCCAAAGCAAAATTTCAGATGCAGAGGGTGAGAGGCAATTCAGCAAGAGCAGTGGGCAGAGCCCCAAGTCCTGAAACCCCAGTACTGGAGTTGGGGTTATGGCCTAAGCTAGATAGCAGGCAGGCAGGCAACAGTGAGGGCTAAGGGCTGGGCTTGTCCTTCAGCATCTGCTAGGGGAATGATAGGCTCTGTCACCTGCCCTCCAGCCGACAACCTCTGTGACCCCCCCTGCAATGCTCTCACCTTCTGGCCCCTCCCAAAGGCCCAAAGTGTCTTGAGGACTAAGGGTAAAAGATAGGTCACCCTTCCTTTCTGCAGAGAGCAGTACTGTGCACCCCCTTCCCTCCTGACCCTGGGCCTGGGTCTTTGTCCTCTGTGTTTGCCCCCTGATTTCCCCACCCTAGTGCAGTCAGATGCAGTTGTGGTGAAACCTTGCTTGAATGGATCTAGGTGAGCCACAGCCTGCCCTGGGAGCCCCTCCTCAGAACCTTCCTTCTCCTGACCACTTGTGCCTGGGAGGCCAAGGTTTCTTGCGGAGGAGGAGGAGGGAACCCAGGTGTGCCTGGGCTCTTGGAAAGTTCCTGGCTCAGCTTCTGTGTAAGTGGGAGGGACTGCAGGAGCACCAGTGGGAGGAAAGCCTTCCGCTTTCCTGAGCTCTCCCTCCTCCAACAAGCTGGGCCCCCCACTCTGTAGGTTGAGGGGCCCTGACAGGCTGGGAGCCCCCTCTAAACAGCCCCACCCAGGGAAAAGCTGCCTCCGAAGTTCACACAGGTACACCTTCAAAGCATGACTCACAAAGACGCAGCTCAGCTGAGAGGAGAGGCAGGCAGGAGACCCCAGCCTCTCCGCCAGGGCTGTGGGATGGTGACGTCGCTGCCTTAGGCACCACATGAAAGCTGGCAGTTGTTTGCAATGTGCTTCTGCTGGCCCTGGGTTTTTTTAGCAGGTGACTGGGGATTTGGCAGATTCACAGGAGGCTAGCAAGAGTCTCTTAAGCTTGATTCAGAAGTGTGACTCGCACCCTATGATTTAGAGGTCTCCCGAAATCGCCCACCCTGTTTGTGTCCCTGAGGGACTGGACGGTTGGACTGGAGGCGGCATTGGAGAAAGAATACTCCTTGGGAAACATGTTTCCAGGTTCTAGGGAGAGGCTTCTGCAAGCAGAAGGTGTGTATTCGAGGTTTTCGACCCCTTCCTGCTGGAGACCTTGTATGTGTTGAGACAGCAACTGAGGGAGGGCAGGATTCTGGGATCTGGGACCATCCTGCCAGGCTCGGGCGGTGGGGGCCCCTCTGCCTGCTAAGAGCTATCGCACAGGCCAGGGCGCCCACGCTGCCCTCAGCCAGGCTCACTGTCCATTCTTTCTCACCTCCCTGTGCATCCTCTCTTGTTCCTGTCTGGCCCCTCCTTGCACTTGGTATCCATGTCCTCCAAGGCCGCAAGCCCAGGTGACCTCAGCCTTGGCCCCCAGCCATCCCCAGGCTGGACTCCTCTGGTCACATGGGGCCAGTGGAGGGGCTTCGGTCCCAGCTCAGCTCCGTGATCTGTCTGTGCGCTCATTCTCTGTCCCAGGCCCGCTAGGGCGTGGGGAAGGGCTGGACCTAGGCTTTCCTAGGCAAAAACAGATGTGTTTGTGCTTCTCCCTGTGGCTGCTCCGCCACCGCTGGCGCTGGGACACTGTGAGCACACAGGGATGCAGCAGGAAGGGCTTGGGCGCCGGCAGAATGTCAGCGATCTTTCCAAGTGCTCCCGCGTGCGCTTCGGGAGTGGGTGGACTTGTCTGTGTGACTCCTCTGTGTCTCCCCAGGGCCCCAGTCTCTGGACAGTGGCAGGTCCCTGCACCCACGTGGCTAGAGCAGCATCTGGCACACTGCCTCCCCTTTCCAGTTTTCCAAGTCCTTTCTCAGGGGTGTGAGGGTCGCCCACGCTGCCCTCAGCCTGGTTTTCTCTATGCTCTTTCTCAACTGGTGCCGCACGTCCAAGGAGAGAGGTACCCAGTGATCCCAGCCACTGGCCCATGGCCAAAGGAACTGGCTGGGAAGGGCTCACCAAGCCCTAGGAGCCCTGGGGCTCGGGACTTTCAGGGTTAAATCCCAGCACAGCAGGGACTGCTCTCTGTCTGTGGAGGAGTGTGAATAACAAAAGCAGTGGGGACATTCAGCAGCGTGGACCTGCTGGGTGGGGAGGGGGGTCACAGGGGCCTGGGGAGGGGCAGAGAGTTGTCTGGCACCTTCCTTGGCCATGCCCTTGTTTTGGGTTGGGGCATGTCAGGAAATAAACAGCTGACTGGTCTGACCACTGAATTCCCCTGGCCCTTTGGTCCCCTCACTGCCTTAGCCGGGTCAGCTCTCAGTTCCCTGCCAGCTCCTGCTGGCTTCTCCCTCAGGACCCAGGCTCAGGCTGCCCCTGGCCAACGTGGAGGGGTGGTCGGCTGAGCAAGAGTTTGGGGATCATGTCTAGTCGAGGGCATATTCAGGCAGTGGCTCTGGGCTCTAGGGTTTTTGCAGCTCGCCCCACCTCCCCCGCTTCCTTTCTGCCTGGCATCTGGCTTGCAAGGAGAGAGCTGGAGGAGCCAGGCAGGACCACGGGGCAGCTTCCCAGGCCCTGCTTCAGCTCTTCTCTTTGATACCCTGGTCTTCCAACTTGTGGCTGCCGGAAGCTTAAAGACCAGTGTGCAATTCCATAAGTCTCCTAACCCCCAGGAGGATGTGGGCCCCAGGCTCCCTGACGCCTCCCTTGGGCACTGCCAGGGCTAACACTCCTCCCCCACCCCCCAGGATCTCAGGGAAGCTGTGATTGCCCTGGGGCTGCCTGAGCCCGCCAGGAGGAGGCTCGGGCCTCCAACCTTTGTGGGACTTTTCCAGAGAGACCCACTAGGCCTGCTGGGCAGGGAGTTCTCAGCAGATGGACTTGGCTTCCCCTGCACAGCCTCCACGCCCCCACCCCACCCCAGTGAGCAGGTTCCCCACATTGCAGTCCTCACCCGTAGGAGGCCCAGGTGGAGAAGGGCTGCTGATGCTTTGGCATTGCCTTCAGAAAGCGAGATGGGCCTCCACCCCCAGGCCCTCATACTGGCTTGGGTCAGAGCCTCATCCTGCCGTGTGGTGGTGTCTGGAGGGAGGGAGAGGGAGCAGAGAGAGCAGGGTTTGCTTCCAGCTCCATCTCTAAGCCCACGGTCGGCACTGCCCTGTTTGCTCTCCACTGGCCCCATTCAGAGAAGGACGCCGAGCTGAACGGTGGGTGAGGGGACCAGTCCTGGTACCACTGCTGGTAGCCTGGCCCCACTGGGCCTTCACCCCTGGGAGAGGGCCTTGGTGAAATGCCAGGCTAGAGATGGGGTGGTGCTAGGCCGAACTACAGCAGGTGGGGCGGGAGCCGCTGAAGTGACCCTGAAGACTAGACCCGCCTGGCCCGAGGGGTCTGCCGGGCTCCACTCACCGCCTGTCTTCTGCTCTGCAGGTCGGGGTGTTCCATGACACACACTCGGAGGAAGTCCCTTCCCATGCTGAGTTCAGGGCCCACGGGCCGCAAGGCGCCGCTGCCCATTGACGGCAGCAATATGGAGCAGGGGGCTGAGGCTGTGGAGCCAGGCATGCCTGAGAGCCCCAGGCACCTCCCCGGGCGCCGCAAGAACTACCCACTGCGAAAGCGCCCGCTGGTTCCTGAGAAGCCCAAGACCTGCAAAGTGCTGCTGACCCGCCTGGAGAGTGTGGCGGGTCCTCGGAGCGCAGATGAGGCCGACGAGCTGCCCCCTGACCTGCCCAAGCCCCCCAGCCCGGCCCCATCCAGTGAGGACACTGGCCTTGCCCAGCCTCGCAAACGGCGCCTGGCCTCCCTCAACGCTGAGGCCCTCAACAACCTGCTGCTGGAGCGGGAGGACACCAGCAGCCTGGGGGGTGCCCGCCGCAGCCGAGGGGGAGAGCCGCACCGCAACCGAGACCGGGCTACTGGGGGCTGGTCCTCCAAGAAGCGACCCCGGCTAGGTGACCTCGGAGGAGGAAGTCGAGACCTGTCCCCAGAGCCAGCACCTGATGAAGGTGCCCGTCGGGATGGTGACTCGGCTCCCAAGAGACTGGCCAGCCTAAACGCAGCCGCTTTTCTGAAGTTGAGCCAGGAGCGGGAGCTGCCCCTGCGCCCACCTCGTGCCCACCCTGAAGCAGATGGGCGCTCCGCTGAGCTCCCAGCTCCCAAGGCTCTACGGCCAAAGTGGGCCAAGGCCCACAGTGTCAAGACCTTTCCCAAGGCCCATCAGGGACCCAGCTCTGGAGAGGCCACAGGCCCACCTAGCTGGCAAGAGTGCCCTGAAGGGCCACAATCATCTGCCACCCCGAATGGGCCATCCATCCAATCACTGTACCAGCCTCTGAGCAAGGCCCTGGAGAGCCCCTTGGGCCTGCGCCCCCGCCTACCACTGCTTATGGGTGGCCAGGCAGCCCTGAAGCCGGAGCCTGGGCGCCCAGGTGAAGAGTCACCTGCCCCCAAGCAGGAACTGCACCAGCCTTCTTTCCCTGCACCCCAGTTGTCCCCCCTGCCCATGCCTGGCAACCCCGCTGACTTCAGTGGCGTGTGTGGTGGGCCTGAGCTCTGTGCTCTCGGTAGCTTCTATCTATACTGTGGCCAAGACGGGCTGCAGTGCGGGGGCTACTCCTCCTGTTCCATGCTACCTGAGGACAAGCTGTCCCCAGCGGCGGCACAAAGTGAGGGGCTCCTCTTGTCCCCAAGGTCCGTGCCGGTGGGCACCCCTTTCCAGCATCCACCCTGGGGCTCTTCTCGATACTGCTCCAGTGAGAACTCTGGAGTGAGAGGCAGCTACAGCCTCTGTGGAGTGTTGCCCCTGCCACTGCCCCATGTTGGCACTACCTGTGGCGGCTTTCCCTACAAGATGCCTTTTACAGCAGGTGAGTCTGCCTGGGGTGTGGGATGTGCCCTGAGACATGGCACCCTGGGAGGGTGCTTTATAGCTTGGGGCGGGACTCTTTGGGGTCTGGCCTGGGAGCAGGAGGCTCTGCGAGGGAGCACTCCCAGGTAAGGGGCCAGGGTCAGCTCTGCTCTGCCGAGGAAGTTTCTGGAGATTTCCTGGCCAGATGGTGACATGACACTGAGGTGGCAGTGGGGCCGTGACCAGAACACCTCCTCCCACCCTACTGAGAGACAGACTCCTTTTGAGACTGAGTAGCAAGTTGGGCGTGGAAATGGAGGTTTTTTGTCAAGCCGTTCCATGATGGTCCCTGTGCTCTCCTTGAGCACAGTTGCTGCTTCCTGCCCGGACCCGGCCATCTGCAGGCCAGGCCAGAGGCTGGCAGGTGCCCTGCCCCAGGGCACTGGCAGCTGCCATAAGGCAGCGTTACAAGCTTGGCTTCACCTTGCTTATGAGTGGATGGTTGGCTTTGGTGTCTGCCTTCATAATGAGAGCCCAGCATCCCTGAGGGGCTTCACCCTAGCTGGTGAGACACCAGTTGCCTCTCTCACCCAAGTGTTTCTCGCCTGCCCTGCCTAGCTTCCTCCCTGGCTCCTGAGTGGAAATGAGGTGGCCAGAGCCACTCTGGCTAGAGTGGCCCGCAGTTCTGCCTGCCACTGGGGAGCTCAGGGGCAGGGCCTTCCCAGGGTTCTCCCCTCCCCCTGCGCCTCTTCTTGTAGGGGTCTATAAAGCAACTTTATAGACCAGTGGCCTCTGGCCAGACTGGTTATTTCAGGTTCTGATGCAAGTTGGAGCTCCAAGAGATAAAAACACCCCTCTTTTGCCCCACTGCCCAGTTCTAGGCGCCTAACCCGTGGGACCCACAGCCCCGGCGTCCTTACCCTAATAACGACAGTGCTAAACACGGCCAGGCTCCGTTTTAAGCTCTTGACCCTTGGGGCCAGTGCTGTGCTGTGGCATATGATTGAGTGCAGATACTGGAGCCAGACCACCTGGGGTGAAATCTGAGTTCTCCTACTTCATGAGCCATGTGACCCTGTCCAATAGAGGTAATGGTGGTCCCTACCTCATAGCGTTGGTCTGCGGATGAAACGAGTTACTATGGGGATGAAAAAAAATACCTAGTAAACTCTATGGCATCTGCAGCTACTACTGATCTTGTGTCGTGAGTTACGTGTCGGGCTGCTAACCACAAGATCGGTGGTTTGAAACCACCAGCCACTCCTCGGGCGAAAGCTCGGCTTTCTGCTGCTGTAAAGATTTACAGCCTTGCAAACCGCCCGCAGCAGTTCTGCTCTGTCTCACAGGGTCACTCTGAGTTGACCTCGACTCTGGTGGGTGGGTGGGTTTAGTTTTGGTTTATTACCATTGCAAGGCACTGAGGGGTCAAGTGGCGTAACAAGTCGTGCAGCTAGAAGGTGGCAGGTCCGGATGGCTCTGAGAGAAGTTTCTGTCAGCTGAAAGGGCCTTGACCCCACCCACCACCTCAGTGCTCTAGGTTCACACTGAGAAGGAAGGCAGGAGCAGGCTCAGGGAAAAGGTGGGCGATGAGAGGTTACGGCTTACCTTTATCTGCCCAGCCCGACCCCTCTCTCCTTTCCCAGAAGGCTGCAGGTCCCTGGGCCAGCTGGAATTTCCTCGCCTGGAAGCTGGCCACCCAGCCTCACCTGCTCACCCCCTCTTGGGATGCCCTGTGCCCAGTGTGCCACCTGCAGCAGAGCCCGTTCCCCATCTTCAGACGCCCACCTCGGAGCCCCAAACTGTAGCCCGTGCGTGCCCTCAGAGCGCCAAGCCTCCCAGCGGTTCCAAGTCCGGCCTGCGCACGGGCTCTGGCTGCAGGCACACTGTGAGGAGCAAGGCCGCCCGCAGGCCCAGCCACCCCAAGCAGTCACGGGTCCAGCGCCCCCGTCCCCGCCGCCGTCGCCGCCGCCGCACTAATGGCTGGGTGCCTGTTGGGGCCGCCTGTGAGAAGGCTGTCTATGTCTTGGTGAGTGCTAGCTCTTAGCTGTGAGGTGAGAGAGGGGGCGGTGGGGACACAGGACCTGCAGTCGTATCGGTCCCAGAAACCCCTGGCCGGAGCTCCTCTGGAAGGTGACGAGGGCTTCTGGCTCACTTGTACCCTGGGAACCAGTCATGCTGGCCCAACCTGCTCCCTCATCCCGAGGGATCCCATGCTGGTTCGCCCTGGGGAGTCAGGGCCCACAGTTGCAGCTGGCGGCTGCCCTGCCTGTCACTGACCTTTGGCACCTCCCATCTCTGCTCACACTCTCCCTTGCATCCTGGCTGACAAAATGGAGGCCCTTGGGCTGGCATTGCAGATCGGAGGTGTGGCTGAAGAGCGTAGTGACACAGGAACAGCTGAGGGGGTGAAAGAATATGAGCCGAACGTGCCCCAGGGTCATGACTATCCTCGATTTCCAGATGAGGAAACTGCGGCTTTGCAGTCATTTTGAGCTCAGATACAGGCTGGCCCGCTAGGCGCCTGAGAGCCCCCAGTGCTGGGGACACGGAGCAGGAGAGCCTGCAGCAGGAGAGGGGCTGGCCCCCCGCCTCTCGCTCCGAGGGGAATGCTCCAGCATGCAAGCGCCTTTGCTTGGCTGCCTGAGCAGAGGCTGTTCTTCCCTTCCTCCTCCAGCCGTCCCTCCTCACGCCAAGTGTGGCCCCTTAGCCTATTTGTGTCTTTGGCTCATTGCCCAGGATGAACCGGAACCGGCTATCCGCAAAAGCTACCAGGCAGTGGAACGGCACGGAGAGATGATCCGCGTGCGGGACACGGTCCTCCTCAAGTCAGGGCCCCGGAAGACGTCCACCCCTTACGTGGCCAAGATCTCTGCTCTCTGGGAGAACCCGGAATCAGGTAGCTCCTCTCTGGCTCGGGCCAAGGGGTGGCTGACTTCTCCAGGACTATAAGCCCCCGAGCCTGAGACTCCCTGCCCTCTTGGCACAGAACCTGCCATCGGCCACTCAGCCGGGATCTGACTGCTGCCCAGGGCTGTGGACGACCTTGTGGCTTGGGTTGGGTCAGCTCTTTAACCTTCCCAACCACCAGGGGTTGGCACCTGTCCCCCCACCTCACCTGTCAGTGCCTCTTCTCCCCTTCTGCCTCCACCCAGTAGCATTCCAGACCACTGAGTGCCAGGCTTATCCTGGGGCAGGGGACCTGGGTGACAGGCCTTAGAGTTGGCCCAGGCGTAGAGGCTGGGTCACCCTCCAGGGCAGCCGGCCAGCCTGCCTGCCTGTGTGAGTAATGTGGGGCTGCCAATTCGAGCCATGACCATTTCTGCTGTCCCTCCCTCCAGGAGAGCTGATGATGAGTCTCCTGTGGTATTACAGACCTGAGCACTTACAGGGAGGCCGAAGTCCCAGCATGCACGAGGTGAGCTGCCTAGTCCTTAGATGGGGAGGCAAAGAATGGTCTAGGAGGGTGGCTGTGACCGGGGTCAGGGAGAATGTGCGTATTCAAGCCCCGGACTCCAGCCAACATCGACCTGGAGAAGGGAGGGTCTGGGGTGTCTGCACAGTGACCTCTAATTGAAAGTGAGCCCTTGAGGGCAGCACGTACCTGGGTGGGAGCAAGATGTGCCTTCCTGGCAACGTGCGTTGGGGGAGGGGAGGAAAAACTACCAGTGAGAAGGGACCACCTTTTGGTGCGCTCCCTCCAGTCCCTATTCATACTCCCATTTGATTGTGCTTCTTTAAACCCCAAACCCTCTGTCCCCGGGCTGATTCAGCCACATAGCAACCCCTTAGGACAGCTGCCTCGTTAGGATTTCTGGGGCTGTCATCTTTATGGGAGCAGCAGGCCTCGGTTTTCTCTCCAAGAGTGGCTGAAGGGTTTGAACTGCTGACCTTGCCATTAGGAGCCCAACATATAACCCCCTCTGCCACCAGAGCTCTTTGTTCCCTTATCTTGGCTTTTTATCTTAACTGGAACACTGGTGACAGGAGGGGTGGGGGCAGGTGGCTGGCCACTCCTGGGCAGGGCAGGCAGGACCCAGGAGAAGCGCCTTGGGGCAGTGAGTGAGGAATGCTTGCATTGAATTTCCAGGGAAGTTCCCTGGCTTTCTGGTGTCCTCACTAGCTGGAGGTCGGTGCTTTCCAGCCCTCATCACTCACCTCCTACTGTCTCCCCTTGAGTCGTTGCAGAATGAAGTGTTCGCATCTCGACATCAGGACCAGAACAGTGTGGCCTGCATCGAGGAGAAGTGCTACGTGCTGACCTTTGCTGAGTACTGCAGGTGGGTGGTGCCTGCACCCTCAGGCTTCCCAAGGCTGCCTGGGGCCCCCAGAGGGGGTCTCTCTCTGCCCTGGTACTCCCTGGGCCTGAACCCCCAGCCTCACAGCCGTGCCTGCACCATCTGCTGTGTATTTCCAAAGGTGAAAGGGGCTGCGGCCTCACTGCGGCAGAGCAGTACTGCTTTGGGGGAAACTCCAGGAGAATGGGCAGGTGGATGGGAGGGGGAAGCCCAGGCAGGTGTGACTTCTCAGTGTCTGAGAAGATGACCTGGCCCTCGGCAGAGTGGGCCCAGCCACCAGGACAGGCGTGAGGGGCAGGGAATGCGCTGGGCGGAGTGGGAAGGGGTTGACCTGCCAGCACCGGTGACTGTGGTACTGATAGCGAATGTTGTCCTTGCAGATTCTGTGCCATGGCCAAGCGCCGAGGCGAGGGTCTCCCCAGCCGGAAGACAGCGCTGGTACCCCCCTCCTCGGACTACTCCACCCCGCCACACCGCACAGTGCCCGAGGACACGGACCCTGAGCTGGTGTTCCTCTGCCGCCATGTCTATGACTTCCGCCATGGCCGCATCCTCAAGAACCCCCAGTAGCCGCCTCCTGCCCAGCTGGGGCCAGCGGGCTCGGGGCAGGGCCACTGCCTGAAGCACAGCACTTGGTGTAGGAGCCACAGGGGCCTGAAGTTGCTGACTTGTGCTCCTCTTGGGGTGGGGGTAAGGGGCCAGGGGCCCCGCCCAATGTTGGGCCCTGTGAATTGGGAGGGGAAGCCAGGGTTGAAGCAAAGCACGGGGATCCTCAGCCTGGCCCCTAAGGAGAAGCCATCTTCTCCCCAGCTGGGTTGGGCCTGCAGCCTCCCCCAAGGTCCCTCCCAGGAGGAGTGGAAGCCGGCTTTACCTCACCCACTGTGACACGCTGCTTCCCCGCCAGCCGGGGACCAGGCCCTCTCAGACCCTGGCATAGCTCTGGGCTACTTCCTCTGAGGCCCAGAGAGCCACCAGCTGGGTCCCTCTTCCTGGGCTGGGGTTGCTCCCTGGCTCTCCTCGTGTGCCCCCGAAGCAGCCCCTGGTGCTGGGACAAGTCGACCGGGCCCTCAGTCACGGGGTGGCCCACCGGTTAGAGCCACCCTCCTGCTCCCCTCCCCCAGAGGGCCTCCCCAGCAGATCTGGCTTCCCAGACACTACCTGATTAACTTGGAGTATGGGAGATCAGATGGGGGCTGGGGAGGGGAGGGGGACAGGGGCAAGGAAAATTGCTACTGCTACCTGATTTGTTGACGACTTTTCCTCTTGCCTTACACTTTGAGGTTCTAGGAAGCCTCTTGCAGAAGTTCACACATGACTCTTCAAGCCACACCCCCCCAAAATCAAACCAAAGGAGTGCTGTGGCCCCCTCTGCCCTGCCAGCCCAGACCCTAGTCTTTTGTAGATTGCACTAATTCCATCCCAGCGAGAATCACACTGTATCAGTCTGCAGACCTGCTGAGCTGCAGCCTCTCACTCGGGGAGCCTTCCAGTTGGTTCCCGTCTCCCAGGGCCCCTGTTCTCACCTCATACTGCTCCCCCAAATAGGTTGGCCATTGACATCCTGGCTCTGGGCCTAGGGCTCTTTGAAAGGGGGGCTGGAGAGTCCTAGGTATTCTCTATTTGTACCAAAGAGGAGCATGGGTAAGACCCAGTTGGTGTGGCTGAGCCTGGCTACTGGGAACCTGCAAGGGCACACGCCCAGGGGCAGGAGCCGAGGAGGGCTGCGAAGGCCCTGCCTGTTGGGAGGGGACCACGAAGACTCCAAGCTGAGGAGCTAGCACTGGGTGAGGACAGCTGGTGGGCAGGGCCCGGGGAGAGCAGTGTAAATGAATCTTCAGGTCCCCCAGCCACCCACCCTATCCCAGGCCCCTGTGCCATCCATGAGAAGCCAGGCTGCTCCTGACTGCCCAGGGGGCTGGGGGTAGGCCTGGAGACTCTGGTGACAAATGTGTGCTGGGAAGTCTGATCCCGAACCTGGGGCTTGGGGGCTTGGGGTCCCCTCAGATGAGTAAGCTATTCAGAGGAGGGTGCCAGTCGGGGCAAGTGGGGATCAGGGGGGCTGGAAGAGAGGTTGGCAGAGTGGCAGTGGGGCGGGGCTCTAGAGAGCCAGCCTTGGTGCCTGTTTGTTCCCTTGAAGCCAAGGGACCCAGCCTGGCGCAGCAGGAAAGGACGCCCAGACCCCTCCCAGGAGGCAGGGTCAACTGCCCAGAACTTAAATGCTTTTGAAATCTCTTAGATGTGGAAATATTTTTTTCAGACCTGAAAATGCAGCTGGTAGAATAATCAATGGAAGCATAATCCATGTACAATATATTTTAGTTGATATTTTGTAAAATGCACTTTTTGTGTGTGGTTCCCAGATCTGTATTTCAGTGTTTACAAGGGAGGCGGGGACCTTTCCTCTCCTCCCTTTTGACAGAGATTAGAAGTACTTCTTTAAGAAAAAATAAATTTGAGAAATTGTATTGATTTAGAAAAGGATCCTTTCCTGTGTGTCTTGTCATCTTTGGCATGCTTGCGGGGGGACTCACTACTTTTTATTTCAAGGACTCCACGGAGCCTTGCCTGCAAGAAGGTAGAAAGGAGGACAGGAAGGCAGGGGAGACAGGTGGAAGGGGAATTTAGAGTTGACTTCTTGGAATTGGGGTGGCCAGGGTCACCTGCCTGGTGTGTATTAGATTGCCCAACCCACACCTGATCTTGGAACTGGGCCTACCCAGTAGGTGTTAGGTGAGCTGCCACCTCATGTTGGGTCACACCCTTGGGGGACTAGCCAGCAGAAACTGCCCTAAGGCCTGAATATCTTGCAACCAGCATTCCTGCCTTGCCAAAGGAATGAAGGCCACCTCATAGTCACGTGGGTTGACTGCCTGGGTCCCTGGCACAGCCCCAGCCCACCAGAGGTGGGCAGCTCTCGGGCTAGAAGGATTCCTGGAAGGTAGCGCCGTGGCAACCCAACTCCTCTGTGCTTGGTAAGCACACCTGGGTGTGGGGCAGTTGCCAATTCCTAGAGGCTACTACTAGTGGCACAGACCCGGCCAGCCCTGGCCCATCACAAGAGTTCTATGAAGGGAGTGGTCTCCCAGACCGGAGATGTGTGGCGAGAAGTCCCATGCTCAGGGACTTCCCCTGGTTAAGTGGCTATGCCTGCACCCAGGCTGCTCACTCAGAACACTGCCCTTACACACGTGGCGATCCTCAGAAACTCACAGGGTTATTTCCTGTCCCGCTTGAAGTATGGTTAGTTGCCGACCAGCTAATTCCTACTCAGGTGACCTCAATGAGGCGGGGCAGAGTGGGACTCCACAGGTTTTTTTTTAAAGGCTGTCTCCTTTCAGAAGTGCATCCATCACCCACCTTGGCCTGCTAGGTGAGCTAGAACTGCTAACTTGGGGGCTCATAACTGTTTCTGCCACCCAGGTACTCCTACTAGTCCAAAAGTAAGAAGTGCTTATTATTGAGAATAATTTATGTAAATAGCAAGTAATCCCACCACTCTTAGTGCTATTGGAAACATACCTTTAGTGCTATTGGAAGTGAGGGTGTTGAAGGTGGCACCATTTTTTAACGCGGGATTCTAAAGCCAAAAATGGGCTACTACATGCACCCCTCATTTAGACACTGGGACGTGGGAAGCGGAAAGGGTGAAAGATTCCCTTCTCCCCGTTGCTCCAACCCTGTGATGTTGCTGGAATGGGAGGCGTGTCGACTTACTGTTCCCTATTTTACTTCTCTGGGTTCCAATATCCACAGCAATGGTTACACAGAACTCATACAATTCACGATGGCAAAGCTGGTTAAGGAAGTTAAGTTGCAGTATCAGTGAGGAGCGCTCAAGATAATCGTTTATTAGGACACCTTAGAAAGTTTTTCAAGTCTGCTAATAAATGCCCAAAGGGACATACCACTCTACTGGAAGCCTCAACCCAAAGGCATTCTGCTCAAGCTCTGCGGATCAGCAGACCCGTCTCCCTGAATTAAGTGCCCAGAGGCACCCCACTCCACAAGCCAGCCTCCTGCATAAAAGCACTCAGCTTTATTTGCTGAGGGTTGGAAAGCCCATCACTGTCCCACGGCCTGGCTCCTGGTTCTGTTGCTGCTGTTCTGATGTTATAGCAGTCTTCTGGATCCAGGAGCTTCATTGTGCAGGGGGCTCCAGTCCAGCGGATGTGCTCCATTCTGGCTCTTGCTGTCATGAGATCCCTCCTGTTTCTCAGAAGGCTTATTTTATACGCAATGGGCTGGTGTTCCACTACAGGTGAATCCCATCAGTATCTCTACCACCCCTCGCCCCCCACCTTCTTAACCAGAGTCATGCAGGAAAAGGTCAGAGACTGACTAGAGCCATTTTACATAATTCGCTGCCCTGTTCTCCCCGTCATTGACTCCGGTTCCACACCCTCTGTCTAACTTGGGGTCAGCTGTTTGCTCCCTCCCACTCACCCCACCTTTGTGTTTCATTACCGTCCAAAGATTCATGATGAGGAACTTAGAATCAGACCACCTTGTAGAATCAGACCACCCTGTAAAGTGGGGATGCCCAGCGCTGCCCCCCAGCAGTGTGTCCCTCACAACAGAAAGTGAGTGCAAAACGGAGCAATCGGTGCCTGGCTGAATGACGGCTCCAAACCTGTCATTGTTCTGGCTCCCCACCACACACAGGACAGAATCTAAATACTCAGCTAGGGGCCCTGTTCAGACCAGCAGATGCTCACCAATGACTCCCAAAGCACTCAGCTCCGTGCACCTGAAACCCACAGCCCCTGCACAGTACCCTTCCATGTGTGTGCTGGCCTCACCAGTGGTCCTGAAGCACCGGCTGACCACTGGCCCTGCACCAGGTGTGTCCCGATTTCCTCCCATTTCAGGGCTGAGAGGACTTGGGAAGGTTGGAAGCAGGGGCGTTGTGGGAGGGAGGAGAAGATTCCATTTCTAGATAGTTCAGCATTACGGTTCAGAAAGCATTGTCTGTAGTCGGCCAGGTAGTTCAACCCGAGTCACCATGGAGATGAGCCACTGGCCAGTGTTTGACACAGTCTTGGCCGCATCCCACAGGGCTGACCCTACAGAAAGCCCTTTCCTGGAGTGGCCTGGGCCCATGGGGCAGGGGTGGGTGGGTACAGCACGCACACTAGGGCCTGGGGCAAGTATGGACTGGTCGAGAGGCGAGCTCCCTGCCTCGTGGAAGATGCCAGGCTTCAGTGAGCGGCAGGATGGTGGGTGCCCACCTCTGTCCCGCCCGCAGGGGACACACGCCGAGAGAGAGA